CAAATCTCCACCTTGACTTGAATTCTCCGAACAGATTCTTCAGACGCACAGGCATTCAACAAGTTTATTATATACTTTTTCTTTTTTTTTTATTGATTTTTATTTGGGATACACGTGCAACGCACGTGCCCGGAGACTAGTTACTTATAAAAGTGGAAAGCTCCAACCTTTAAAGTTGGATTACCGTTTTACTCCTTCATTCTATGAAAATGTTATAAATTAATTAAACAAATAAATATTAAATAATAAATCATGTTTTATTATTATTATACTAAATATTAAAGTGGAAAGGTGTTAAGTCAAATGTATCTATTTTTATTTGGGACATAAAAATGTATGTCTGAGTTACACATTGTGGAGTCGCGCGATGGAGATTGCTTTGTTTGGACGAAACAAATTGGGATTCATTGATGGTTCAATTTTACGAAGTGATTTCGATGGACCTTTGAAGAAAATCTGGGATCGATGCAATGCAATTGTGATCACTTGGCTTATTTACAACGTTAGTCAAGATCTGCTTAGTGGCATTCTCTATTCATCAAGTGCAAATCAGGTATGGCTAAATCTCAAGAAACGATTTGACAAAATCAATGGATCTAGACTTTCTCAATTGCATAGAAACATATTCACTCTTACTCAAGGGACTTTGAATGTGTCTCCTTATTATACAGAATTGAAAAGTCTATGGGATGAGTATGATTCAATATTACCTCCACCTAGTTGTGACTGTCATAAGGCAAAGGATTATATGAAACAGATGCAGTATCAGAAGTTACTGCAATTTCTAATGGGCTTGAATGCAAGTTATTCTCAGGTAAAGAGGTCATATTTTGATGATGTCGTGTCTTCCTAATGTTAATCAAGCTTATGCATTAATCATACAAGATGGAAGTCAGAAAGGTATTGTTGGTTCTATTCATGAAGGAATGGAATTCTTAGTTATTTACTCTAGTAAAGGTGGTAGGCCTCCACTAGGGGTGGGCATTCGACATTTTGGTTCGATTTCGGGTTTTTTCTTTATTTTTTCGGTTTTTTGTTCAAGTAAATTGTGAACCAAATACCGAATCGAAATATCGTTTTTGTTATTTCGGTTAGATTTTTTTATTTCGATTTTTTAATGGGCCTGCTTAGTGGGCTTTTTAAAATTTTAAAATTTATAATTTTTTGGTTTGATTTTACAACTTAATGAGCTAAAAAGTAAAAATAGACAATACATCAAAGAAGTGTACTTCTAATTTACTACTAAATATCAATATTTCAATATGCCATTAGGCATTAACACCAAATTTTAAATTCACAATGTCACTAAAACACACAATTTTTAGTTAACAATGACGCTAAAATAAAAA